AAATTCCCTTTTTTTCCTTGGGGGGGGGGAACTTTATTTGGTTGTTTTATTTTAGCCTGGGAGACAAATTTCTGGCATTTGTTGACAGAAATTACAATGAAGTCCCGTTAGGGGAAAAGAATTTCAGATAGGATAAGATTAAGAATGAAACTCAAAACTGAAAAAAAAAAAAAAAAAAAAAAAACTATTCATAATCAAAATTATTATTTCATTTACCATTACTGGACTTTTCATAGCAATAAAATAATGGCGTCATAAACAGCTTCTTCGAATAGCAGACAAGGTGACAAGCACAGAGCTATTCGTGCTTTCTAAGGAGAATATCATTAGAAATTACGAACGTCTCTGTTTTTAAAAAGTCGCTTTCTTCCCCCCCGGGCACAAAACCTACTAGAAATTGAAACTGAAAAGCACTGATATCATATTGTTAAAGATTACTAATGCAGAAGCTCTGAAACACTCATCAGCAATTATTTAAGAAACCTTAATAAAACTTCAACTGAACACTCTGTTGCAGAATCAGTTACATTTAAAAAAGTTCGTCGTCGTAGCATTATAATGAGCGAATGATCACTGCCCAAGATGAACATAATGGGTGAACTTCGTTTTGAGATTCGAATTTTAAATCTTTCGATTAGACGTTGAGTTATCTCATTTGTTGTCGATTTAGCTTCGCTTTGACGGCATTGTCACTATCGTTGTTTGCAGATGTTGCTGTCATCTAGTGGCTTTATATTTTTATCAGTATAGAATGTGTTTATCAGTTTATCTTCCTCTTTATTGATATTATATATGCACTATGTTATTTTTATCTTTTTGGGGGGGGGAAGAAAGTATACAGAAATCGAAAGCAAAATTTTGTTTTCAAACATATGCTAGTATCAAGTGATGCTTGATATTTTAGTTCTTTTTATTAATTTTATTTTATTTATATTCCATTTTAAACATTTATAAAAATTTAGACAACTGTTTCTTTAGCACGGCCAACTGATTAAAACGCTTGCCGTCCTTCTATTTCTAGTGAAAGCGATAGTCAGGAAAACGAAATGTTGCACTATTAAAAAACAGCAACAAGTGAGAAGAAGTGAACACTGGAAGCACTAAGAGAAAGAATTTTTATTGAAAGGTCATTTGTGTACATTGAAAAGTGTCCACTTCTAAACAACTGCGGTTTTGTTTTCACTGCAAATCAATGCGCTTGCTGTAAAAGAATCGGTTCGTCAATTTAATTTTGCTTAAATATTCACGATGATTCCCTTTTACTTTTATAAGAAGTTTAATGATAAGTTCTTTAAGTTTTTTTTTTTTTTTTTTTTTTACAAACCACTTTGCAAAATACTTTACTTTCACGAAATACACATTTTTTTATGATAAGTTTTTAATCAAGATAATTTTAGTGATAATTTTTAATTTTTAGTGATTACTTTTTTATTCCAAAGCTAATAAAAGTTAATAAATAATTAAGTAAGTATGTTAGTATAATTTTTCATTATTTACTGCTAAATACTTTATGAAGTATACGTTCAGCTAGCAGTCGGAAGGTCTGGAGTTGGAATTCCGCGAAAGCATTGCTCATTTTTTCATTTCCCGCTTTAAAATAAACCTGATGACTCTACGAAGTGGCGCCTGAATATATGGTGGACTACAATTCGTCGCCACCTGGATTAGGAGGTTGAGCGTCATTCCGCCCCAGTCGCCTTTTAGTGGGAGAGAATGGAAGGTAATTTATTCCTCCTTTCCAAGTGCGGTGGGGGTAAAATTGGAACCACATCCGGTTGGCAAGCGAGAAGTCAGGAGTTCAAATCCCAGAGGGCATTGCGCATTTTTCCTGTATCCCAATCTGATAAACATAATGACTCTACAACTCTAGACCCAAATATGAAAGCCTTACTTTTCTTAAGCCAAACAGAAGGCCCACAAGCGGCCGAGCGGTAAAATCGCTAAACAGTGGTAGTTCCGATTCTAAGCGAACGGGCGTTTTGGCTGCATGAATGGCCTTTGTGGTTTACGACTTGTGTAACGTGTATACGAGCCAGTTTTCCTTAGAAAGCCCTCCACGAAGGCATCCCTCTCCTTAAGCAGATAGCCGTAGTATGCTTTCCGTAATTTCAATAAACCAAACCATAGCTAAATAGGATAAACTTAAAAGCTAACTTATTTTGTTTTTTGAAACGCATTTACTTCGAAATGTTTTTAAATGCAATCAAATGTAACTTTATTTCAAAAACGATGAAATATAAATAATGAATAAAGAAATAAAAGTAAAATGAGTTACTTTTTTGCTTTATTTTATTGTTTGACAATACATTATGATTTTTATCTCACATACTCTGAGAAATATTCTAATTGTTAAGTTACTGCATGTTATGTATTGTTTAAAACATCTGGTACTATAGAGCATCTGTGAATTTAATTGTATAAAATTTCCTAATAAATCACAGGTTACTGAGGGAAATAACTTCATGCAGTTTAAAAGTAAACAAGTGTATAGTTAACCACTACCGTAACAGCAACATTTCATAAATCTGGAATGAGTTATAACGAAATTGCAGTCAGATAAATATTTGTTAATTAATGCTAATAATTATTTTCAACATCTTCATTGTTTACAACAATTAGATACTCAGTTTGTTATTAAAAGTCACAGTAGGGTAGGTGTATAATGTATACAATTAACATGTACAGAGGAATTATTTCCTGATAAATATTAATAACAATAATCATTACTGATTTCAAAAGCACAACTTTTATCTTTTTAGAAAAACAAATTTCAGAAAAATAAATGGTATAAAAGGATTGAAAGTATGTTAATATAGAGAGCACTTTCTTTGGAAAATGAAAGAAATTCTTATTTCATCAAAATTTTGCTCATTTACTTAACATTATTTTAAGCAAAAATTACAAGAGAGATTAAAAAATATTAGCTAATTCATTATTTTAGATACATCGCCTTGGAGGGGCATATAATATTCAAAATTTTTTCGAATTTTGATTTTTAATTTGTGGAGTCCCTAGAGGAGTTGTTTGGAACCCCAAAGTTCTGCGGAACACAGTTTGATGTTTACTGATTAAATTTACAAACTTGTTACTGAAAAGCGAGAGATCAGAAGATTGAATACAAGCTGTAAAACTTTATCTCTGCTTTCATCTTCAAATGCTTAAACACTTGCAAATGCACACTATGTGGTATTTAAAATTTTTTATTTCATATTCATAGTCTGAAATAGATGACTTTTCATTTATATAAATTTATTCCAGGAATTTCGTTTAGGAATATGTATTTTCGGAACGAGACTTCAGAAACGAAAGAAGTCGTTATGGATCATGGCAGTGATTAACAATAAATTTTTCTGAAATGCATGTTTCACCAAGAACATGCATAAGAAAATTCCGATGAGGTCAGCACATGACCTCCCGCCAATTCTATGTTGAGATATGGAATGGCAACGAGTTTTAAGTAAACTATTTAACGATACATAAAAGTAGCAAAGCAACAACTTTGTGTTTGGGCTAGAATTTAGTTAGGAAGAAATTGTGTGTGTTGGTAAGTATCTGATCATATATAGGCTTGATTTGTAAATCTGCATGAATTCTGAAATTTCTGACGTAACATGCAGCATTTATTATAGAACGGAGTATTTTATTTTGTAGCACATTGATTTTAACTCTCAGTTTTGTTAGCTGTAGCCCAGGCAGGAACGGAATACAGTACGATCGGACGAATTAAAGGTATATAGTGTGTCCTCTTCACTTTTATATTTAATTTCGATTTTCTTTCTAAGAGGCTGTAAACTGTCATAAAGCTAACATTTGCTTTGTTAGTAACTTGAGTGATGTGGTCCTTGAAGGATAAAGTTTTATCCACAGTGTCTCCAAGATATTTGTATGAATCTGTTTTCGGAAGGGTGACATTTTCTATTTTAATATCCATTTATACGTTAGTGCATCTTATATATCTTCGGAAAAGCACTACATAGCATTTAATAGAATTTAAATTTATTTTCCAAATTTTGCACTACTTGGCATCTATATTAACTTGTAACTGTGAACTATCAATTGATCTTCTAGGATTTCTGTAATTCGCAAGTATTACCATGTCGTCTGCATATTTAAGTACTCTTGAGTGTAGAGGGTTAAGTAGATCATTGATGTAAATATTAAAAGCTTCGGGCATAAAGCCGTACTTTGCGAAACCCGCTGAATATTGTCCGAAAGTGAATCTCCGCATCGCACTTGGAATGCTTGTCTTTTTAAGTAGGAAATCCATACAACAGTATTCGAAGCATTATCTTATTTAATAAAAGACAAGAACAATGGCCACGTTATCGGGAAGAAGTTTTTATTTAGGTACTAAGATGGCTGTCGTTGCAAGATAAAAAATTATGATTTTAAGAAATAGAAATTACACATACTTGATTAAACCACGTAACAATTTAAAATAAGAAAAAATTAGCATTCATATGGCTAATTTTATTCAGTAATTTTGCATTCGAAATATTACTTATTGTGTTGAGAACTAGACTAATCGTGAGGGAAATAAAATTTCCCCAAAAAGGAATATTAACTTCTGTTTTAATTCAGAAAATTAATTCTAAATTTTTTTTCGTTTAAAACCCGAATGGAAACCAGCATTCTTAGTATATCTTTTACAAAAATCTTCGCTGTATTAAATAAATATTTTATCAAGGGGGGAAACTTTACTTTTTCCGAAATAACCTAAAAAAAAAGTAAATAAATAAATAAAAAGCGGGGGGGAAACGTGTATGTATGAGAAAGAGTGCCAAGTGTCGAAAAAAAACCTGAAAACTTTTAATGATATTCTTAAAACCGTTTCGAAATATTAATTTCTTTGCTTTTGAAACGAGTTTCTCCTTTCTTACCTTCAGTAATACTTCATCACTTGCGATTTTTGGCGAAAACAGCGCTGAATAGCAAGAGATTAAATTCGCCAACTCTAAATCAGCGCGTCGTTATTCATCTCCTTAGGTTACAAAGTGCCACAGCTCAGCCAAAGCAAGCGGTCATTTCCTTGAGACCGCACTCTCGAAGGAGGAAGTTTCAGTTTTACTGTAGGTTAACCTCTCTGTGAAACATACGCGCTTAGCATTCTCTTCAGTGACAGCAAGTAAGTCGTGGTAATTTTTTCCTTCTCTGATTCAGTAAAATTATGAATATTACTTAAAGCCTCTCCCAATGACTTCTGTAAATTATTTCAATTAATTTGTGTGTAATCGCATATTTATATAGACCGAAGGGAATGAATTTAAGAAATAATTATGAATTAATTCTGAAAGAGAAACTGAAATATATAATGCTTTATAAAAATTTTCTATTTTCTTTAAAAAAAAACGTATTTAAAGCATTTCAGGTATTTTTTAATTGGCTTGCTTTTGTAATTATTTAACTTGCTACCTAATAATTAGAGATTAATTATAATGTTTTATTTGCCCATAAATAAAAATAAGTTATAAACTTAATAATGCATTTGTATTTTAGTGATGATTTCCAGGTATGTTAATGAAGAATTATGTTGGTGGTATATAAAGTTCGGAAAATTATGAATAATGAACAAAGTGTAAATAATAGAAATTAGAAGTAAGGTAGATGATTTATTACATCAAAACTTATAACGTTTAATTACCTGTAAGGAAGTGCATGCTTTCGTAAAAGAAATTGTCTTTTCTTACATAACACACTTGGAAAAAATTATGGAAACTCCAATGTCACCATACTACATAAATCTACGGAAACATCAATGTATGTTCTGCTGCAAGAAATAGGATCTATGGGGAAAATGATTTTCAGTGGTAGTTATAAAAAACAGAGAATGTGTAAACAACAACCACTCATTTTTCTAGAATCTCTCTTAACCGGCAGCAACGAGATCTCACCGAATCTGGATAAAAAAACAATTTTCCTTCTAATTTAATATATATATATATACACTGTTCATGTTTTGTGATGTCATTTGTAGAAATTGCGGGATGCAAAGTCGTATTTACGATCTATCAGCGACCATTAAACAAATAATAGCGAAAATCGTACAATTAAAACTAAAGGACACATCTGTAAGTTTTAGGTTTCAGGAAAACAAAATTAAACAACATTTTAAAACTACCATGTGAAATTTACGAATGTTTTAGTGTGAAGCATATAACTTCGAGTATCTGCCTACTTATAAGATTGTCACCGTAGTTTTAAAAATTTGTATTTATGCAAAGAAACTTCATAAAACAATGTACAGACATTAGTAAACATTTCTGAGTGAATCTTATGAAAGTTTGCTCTTCCTCAACTTCTTTCCTCGGAACTCTTTTGGTTGTGTGTTAACCTTTATCTTTTTCTTCCCCTTTCTCCTCATCACCTTTCTCCTTTTGCAGCACATGTCCGATTATTTCGTTGTCATCTTGAGAGAGTGTGACAGGAACAGAACTGTCTACATCTATTCAAGCTTACACCTCCTCTTCATTAACACTAATCTTCTCCGAATATGTAACTAAATCCAAGATGTCGGACGTGGGGGCTGGTCTTGTTTTAAAATCATAAGAATTTTTGTCACTCCATTCGTTATCTACGAGTATGATTATAGGCCCCAGTTTACACCAAAATGAATATAAATAATAGGAACGTAATATAATGTTCTTTACATTTTCCCAGGCAAAAGCCAAAGCAAACATGGCATTTTTCAGTGTGAACTATGTTTGAAAATCATGGACAGTACTTTTAAAGATATTGGCACATAAAAAGGGATAGTTCATCTTTATTCATATTGGCACATAAAAAGGGATAGTTCATCTTTATTCTAGATAATTCATTGGCTGATAAAGTTTGTTAAGTCAGGCGCAGAAACATAATACAAACGCTTTCCATAATTAAGTCTTCAAACTGTTAGTCAGTTAAATATTTTTCTCATAGTCCAAAATTTCTGATTTAAATTCAAGTCTTCAAAAGTACCACTATTTGGATATTGCCGCTTAATTAGGTGCAGGTTAAGAGAGATATTACTGCAGTCTGGAATCAGATGAGTGAAATGGTAGAAAATAAAAGTATTAACGGACGTCTCGAATATTAGCATCCAAATTTTTGGTAACTACGAATTTCATGAATTTATAAACTGAATTTCGTTTTCTGCTTGTTCAAAAGAATAGTTATAATCCACAAATTCTATACCTTTTTTACATATGAGTCAGCTTTATTATTCTCCATAATCTCAAAGAACGCAGCAAATTAGACCATTAGAGCGTGATTCATATATCTATACCATTTTTTAACAAATCAATGGGCACGAATTTCTCGACAAAACTTTCTGACCTCTAATTTTTTAACCAAAGAATTTCAGTTTCAAGAGTCACTGGACAAAGGAAATTTAAAACTACTTACAAATACATGCAGATACATATATAGTATAATTACTACAAGCAATCTCGGCTCCATAGAAAAATTCCAAATCTACTCTTCTTGTTTAATTAATAAGACCAAAGCAAGTCGATAAGAAATAGATTATCGTGATCTCCAAATGATTAACTATAATAAAATAAAACTTTTTAGCAAAAGAAGAGATTTTAAATTCAAAACAATTAAACTAATTAATTAGCACTCCAACATATCAAAACAAGTTACAGGTAACACTATGCTTAATAAAATCAATAGAATCGAACATATTTCTACGGAGATCGACTACTTAAAAGATGAAATAATTTTACTTTCACAGGTACTTATAGGAAATAAAATTTCTTCACATTTTATTAATTTTTTTCTTAAAAAAGCTGGCGCTAGATATCATAGTTAATATTTAAACTAACAAGTTATGATAAGCTTATCTGAAACCGAAAGGAGGGTAAGAAAGGATCTTTTGTAAGAATTTAAGTTTTGTATGCTTTGTATTACTGTCTATACTTCTAGTCTCTATCCTTTTAATAACAAGGCGCATTTCTTTTCAATCTTCCTATTTCCTTTTTCTTCGACTTTTAGTCGGAATAATTATAAACTTATTTTAGCTTTTTATCAGTTATCATTTCAATAGCTTGCCGAAGATAATAAAGAAGTTTCGCCGACTGCAAACCCTCAGTTAAATTTAGATTTTTTCTTTAACTAATCAGAAAGCATCTTTCTTTAATTTTCTCGCCAATTCAAAATCTGCTCATAGCGAAACAGCTACTTAACTGTCCCACTTCTAATGTGAGGAACCCTAGGTGTTCCTATCATGCTGCTGTGCACCTACCTCAGTTCTGAATAGGAAAACAGCTACTACAATATTTAGCAGGAGTTTTAACTGCAAGTAATAATTAAAATTAATTTTGGCCGATGTAAAAATTCAAATGTTGATATGATCATTTAGATTTTTTACAGTATTACAAATGTATCTATTAAGTAAATTTTACTTTGTAGTTATTCATTCTTTTTTAAGTTTTAAGTATTGTTCTATAGTTTACTACATTTTTTTTGTCTCTACATATGTTGCCTTACAACGCTTTGGGGAAATTTTCACATTTATTAAAAATCAAAGATATATTTATAATATATATATCTTTGATTTTTATAATAAACTATATATTTATAACAACTATATTATAAATAAGTTTATTGTATAACTTATATATTTATAATAAACTATAAGATTATATTTATAATACTTTACATTTTTTTACTTTTTGTCATAGGAATATTGTTCAAAAATGCTAGATAGACGAAACGCAGTCTTTTGAAATTATTTGTGATTTTATGGAAAGAGACTAATTCCCCTTAAAATGTCAGGATCTTTCTATGGAATCGGCAACAATTTTCTTGTAAAATATTTTAATGTTTCAAACATTTTTATATTTAAAAATTTTTCTTTAAGTTTTTACATTTTACTAAATTTGCTGGTTCCAGAATACCCACTACCTTTAATTGGTTTTGCACTTTTCAAAATCTCCCTTTTCAATGGTTTTTCAATTAAAAATTGATATTTTCTTTCCATTTCTTAGGAGATAATCAAATTCAATTTAATTATTAAACTTTATATCTATACCTAATTCGATTCATCTCTGTCTCTCTCTCTATATATAAACTGAAATAATTGCATGTGGGGTCCTAAAAGTTTTTTATAAGTTTAAGGTCTAGTAGAGAAATATATATTCATTTATATAAGTACTGTTAAGAATTTAGTGTCATATATCGAAAAAGTTATATTTTCAATTAAAAAATATCTGCAGAATAAAAGGATGTCTTAGAATAACTAAGAACGTAACGATAAATGTACCACTTTAGAATCACTATTATCGAAAGCGTATTAAATGTCACAGACAGTATATATTGTCATAGGCATTTTAAGTCTTTGTGGGTGATTTTGAAGAGAAATTAGCCCCGTTATAGTACCTGCGGAAAACATTTCGATTAGACTGAAGCATGCATGAAACGGGTGTTCAGTGCTTGTGCGCTCAATAGGAAATACTATTAAACGGACACCTTTAGCAATTTACCTATTATAGGGTATCGCAAATTCCATAACATATTAATAAAATCATACAGTTAGCAAACAACCGTTTTCCATTCTTTATTATCAGTGTTACAGAAATGCCATTTATTTAGAAAGTGCTAGAATACGACCTGACTGCATCAATGACGGAGATGCGTCTGTAATTGTCACCACACATCACTATCTAGGCATTGTTTGCAAGATTTCCTTCGTATTAAGTTATCAGCTGAACATGGTTACGAGTTACTTATGCTTCTAATAGAAAATGTGACAGTGCTTTCAACCAGCGTCTACATGGAATTTTTTGATAGGATTTCCGCTAGGATTAATTTCTTGTTATTGTAACATCTCTTGGGTTCATTGTTTCATCGTTTTCAGTACGATGAATCTTTATGGGGGTATCTCGATCAAGAAATTTCCTAAACATTTTGCATCTCAATATTAAAACTGAAAGATTGCTTTAGATGGTTATTACCATCACCAATATTCCTAGTGATATATTACGACGAGTAAGGTAATGGTCACACGATGATATAGCTGTCTTAATTTTCTTAGTCAAACGGCACCATTAATTTTGTTCACACTTGTGTAGAGGGCTGTAGCCAATTAGGGAAGCTAAATTTGCGCATGCGAAACTTTCGACTGGATTTCAGTTCGTGTTTGCTTCA